TTTCCATTGAATTTCACATAGCCTTGCTTTTCCAAAAGTTGTTCTTATCCAAGTTGGACTGCAGTTTCGACCTCGCATCGGTCTTATCAGCACCCTCAGCGGGAGTCGAACTGGGCGTTGATAAGACCTACGCGAGGTCGAAACTGCAGTCCACTTTGGATAAGAACAAATTTTGGAAAACCAAGGATCCGTGAAATTCCATGGAAACTTTGTGCGAAAAGTCTACTACCAGTCCTTCATTTTCTTATTTTAACCTAATCAAAGTATATCCTTTTTGGCGGATTTCCTCAGACCTACTCGCACTTTCCGCCACTTCCTTCATCCCCTTACCGTACTGGGAGTGTGGATACAAGTCTGCCATTTTAGTCCGCAATCTTCTTCCTCCAGGTCCTATCAGAGTCTCTTATCTCCAAGATTCAATGAGTTACCTCGACAACTATCACCATATCTGTGCTATTCGAGGTGTTATTTCGCATACTCTGCTTTTAGTCCTTGATAGTACGTATCCTCCCACATCACTGGGCAAGCCACCAAAGTATAGATTCTCAAGCTGGATGCAAAACCAACTTGACGCTAAAGATTCCCCTTTCAGCCTATGTACCGGATAAATCTCATGGTTAAGCCTTTACGTCAGAGACCATGTCTATGATCAAACCCGTCTACTTTTTTATCCATCTATCGCTGGTCTCCATCGCATCGCTCGTTCTTCTATCCATGATGCAAAGTCTATAACTTTCCTATAGCTTAGTCTCTTGTGTTAACCCCCAAATATGATTGTCGTTTTACTTGCTTTGGTAAGACCGGTTGAAGACGCCTCCTCCTGGCGTACTCTTCTTCCTCTGTGGTCTCCTTCTTGCAATTCCTCTTACTCAAGTTAAACAATATTTTCTTGATCTAGTCGTTTTCTTTCTGTTGATCTTGCTGAATTATTTAGCTACAAATCACGCAAGACCACCCACAGCCTTCGGACCACCAAAGATACCCAAAGAAGCAATACCGCTAATATTAAGAGACAATAGCAACCGTTGAGCAAAACACAGGCCAGAGAAATTCATTTGCCTGAAGCTCAAGAAAGCAAATGGTAGACTCTCGATCACCTTGAAGAATTCATATGGATTTTCCTTGAGGATCCAAAACATTGGGCTGGTGAGGGCGGAACTGTTGATATGTTTTGACGTACAATCCATGTACGCGAGAGCGGTAAGTGTCCTGCTATAGATCTTGGAACGAGAACAGGGTATCATTGGGGCAGAGCGGATACGGAAGGAGTCATCTGGAAATATACCAAGTCTACGGTCAGACGCTGGGACTTATGATTACAACTGTATCTGAGGGCTTAGGACAAGACTTATCCAACTAGGTCGTCCTGACAACACGACAAAGTTGCGAAAACAAGGTCAAATCGCTTCTAATTGTAAATGGCTTCAATAATTCAGCAGTAGTAGTTATTGTAGAATATTATATTTACACACTCAGTAGCTCCCATCTGCTATTCCTTGTAGTTCTATCACTCACTAACCTCAAGATACTAACCTTTCGCCTGCTTGGGGAAAAAATCAAATTAAAATCAGGTTACCACTTAGTTTATAAATGGAAACCTAAGAAAATGATACCATTTTATTATTTTCCAATACAGTCTTGAAGCTAAGGTTAACTTGACCTGGATCAAATAAGGATGGGAGCTTATCTAAATTGGTCCTGCCTAATAGATAAACAACAAAAGTTTCCTCTCTCTATCTTACAATTAGGAATTTGTTCAGCCTCGTTACCTAGCACTGCTTAAATTTTCCGCCGTAATTATTTTTCAAGAGCCTATTGTGAAAGCTTGTGCTTATTCCTAATATTCGCATGAGGAGGATGAGGCAACTTTGAAGCCTAATCCCCAATTATTGTTACATACTTACACGCAGGGAATGCTAATCCTGACTTAATAATAACTTAAAATTTGTTGTAAGCGTGATCTTCAGGCCTGACCATGTCTGTAAATTAATGATCAAATGATCGTCACATTTTATAAGTGCAGCAGTTTCTGTTTATGAGATTGACGGTTTATAGTTCAGTTATCTATCATATATATGATCTACTGGTGGTATCGATAGCTTATCTATAAACGAAAAATAGGTGGCGTAATCAATTGCTATAGCAAATACAACTTTGCTTCATCAACAATTGCACCACAGAAACATTTGACAGCGAAGTTATTGTGAAATTCAATGGAAGCATGAGAAACTGTCTGGCGTTCTTTGAGGCTCCCATCTGCCCTATGACCCAAGGGCACTGGTGGCAATGTGGCATAATGGTTAACCTATCAAGATTATACGCTGCACCGTCATGGTCCGAGTCAAGCTGGGGGTGCTGATATGATATAAGCGAGGTCGTAAATGCATTCCACCCGAGATGAGAATAACTTTTGGTAAAGCAAGACTATATTAAATTTAGTGGAAACGTCATATCGACTCATTTCAGTGTGGGGAAATTCAATACCAGTCTCCTTATCACTAAAAATGATATAGGATGAATAAACTTCATAATTTTGTAATTGGCTACATTTATCTCTTTTGAAAACTGTCATTATTCTCCGCCTTCTCATTAGTTCATATATCATGAAGGAATGATAACAGATTTAGTGCAGGAGAAAGAGTTTCCGTTTGCTTAGTTCTTACCAAATATTCTTCGTTGAGGAATGTATCCTTTGTCAAAGTGATTATTTTTTTAATTAAGCCTAAATGATAATCGCTATAGGAAAGAACTGCTTCAGCCTATCTAATGCTTCATAAAAACGATTTCCACCACACATTTAATAACCATTGACTGTAGATATGGCTAGAAAAAAAGAATAGAACAGAAATATGTTATTTTCTTATAAAAACTTTTGCTACACTTGCCGCCTTCCATTTACAATGAATACATCCAAAAATGGAAGGCAGTTACTCCTTTCAAATTCCATTCTTAATATACTATTACTTTGGCACTTTCCATAGGAATGTAGAAGATTATCTAACCTCTACCTAACATGTTGTAAAATGCCAGAATAATTGCCCATATTAATAACTTAAGGCTTTGAGGTCGGTAAGATTTTTACACATCCCCTCATGCAAGTAATGGCCAGCATAGGCGCCAAGCAAAATCCCGTCATAAGTCATAATATCGGCTCCTAAAAATAACCGTCACCGGTTACATAAGTACTAATTATGAATTCATTAGTCCTAAAGACGAGGCTATACATACATTTTCTCCATCCATGATCTCTGAGTGTACCTTCTATAGGAAGCGTGAAAGTTTTAAATTGATCCCTGAAACAGAATATGTGTATAAGTGTAAAACGCATAAATACTTATTTATATTTAGATATTCATCAACTACTTTTCCAAATTCAAACATTTTCTACTAATTATGGCAAAATTTCTGCCACTTTTCTAATTGTCTAGATAAGAAACATGCAATCCTATACCTCACACTTTCATTATGATTTACGCTTTAGTCGAATATCAGGCTCTTCCTTATACGCATTTGAGAGGCCTAAGTCATAGATAATCTAGCACCTCTTTAGAGAATTGAATGCACATATATGAGGTGTATTCACCCTATTTAATTCAAAGTAATGATGACTCTTGGATGGATTTTCCCACAATCAGATAAATAGACCTCGTTTTTCCACTGAATTTTGCATAGCCTTGCTTCTCAAAAGGTATTTGCATCCAGGCTGAATTTCGGTTTCGACCTCGTCTGAACTGGTCTCATCAGCCCCCTGTGGGACTTGAACCCGATTCGCTGTTGTTCAGCCTATAATCGCAGCGTATTAATTACTGTGCCACAAACGAAAAGTCAGTACTGTACTCAATCATTATAGCAAATACAATTTTGTTTTGTCATCAACCCCACTCCAGAAACGTGATATGAGAAAGACCTAGGCTTCCTTGTAATTTAAATCTACCCTGCGATCCAAGGGCGCTCATGGCAGTCTGGCGTAGTAGTTGACGTGCCTAGATTAGACACGCAGTAATACAATCCGGGTTCGAAGCTCGCTGGGGCTGCCGATGAGACCTGGGCGAGGTCGAAACTGCGGTCCAATCTAGGTGAAAATACCATTTGGCAACAAAGTTATTGTGAAATTATATGGAAGCATGAGGCCCATTCATATGATTGAGGGAAAATCCAACTATCAGTGCTTCATCGCCTTAAAAAAATAGGGTGAATACAGCTTTTGTTAGAACTAATTTTACTCCTTGTTACATTGGATACGAAATCCCTCAGGATGAGTCTATTTATTTTTCGTTTGTGATTAGGGTTTCGAGACCTTAAACGAACTAGGGTGAATACATCTCAGATAAATATTATTATCCAAATTCTTTTGCTTACTCGCATGAACTCGCCTAGTTGTACAGCCTTAGTGTTACACTCATCATTCCAACCAGATATAAGTTCAGAATTGTTTTATCCTAGCTTTGCTTTTCCTTCGATCACTTACTTGATTAGCCTATATTGACGTCACGTTTTGTTGTGATTACACACAATATGGAGTGGTGGTCTCGTACACTGGCTTGCACACGGATAGATGCAGAAACACGTACAGGTTCACATGTATGAAGCGAAACTAAACGAATCTATATATATATATATGTTTATTTTAAGTTTATTTTTAAGATATGCTTGTATATATTATATGTAAAGTAGAAGTAGCTAGATTTCTCGACTTAGTATCGACTTGAAGTATTTTGAGAACGAGATCCAGCTCTGACTATGCATAACAGATAATAGGAGAAATATCAGAACGGGTTCTGCAGGGTCTCAGGACAGTACACCGGGACTTATTTTAACTGCAAAGTCACAGCTCCAAGGCAATCCTCCTTAGGTTCCTGTTAAAGCCATTTTACGAATCCCTTTAAACCACCGTTTCAACCGAAACCAAGACTATAACAATGCGAATATATTACTGGGTTTTTTTAAACCCAACTTCTCGCAATAGCTACGTAAATACAAGAGATCTGGTGTAAGTTGCACACATTTCTTGCTCCAACATCACTATACCGTCACATCCTTTCGAATAAAGGGTCTAAAAGCTAGTCTACGTAGCAGTCTCATCTTCGATTCCAAGTCAGCAAGGAAAGGTGAATATATATTTTAAGTGTACTAATTCACTCTTCTCAGAGCCTCATCACTAGAATCGTCAGTGTCGAACTTTAACAGAGCCAGAAGATATGTACAACTCCAATTTAAGCGCCATTTCACACGTTGATGGAGAAGTGAAATAAAATTATCCATCAACCTTTGATCTAACGAAATAATGGGACAATTGTGGTTTCACTTAACGTTATGGCGCTGGCCTAGGACAGAATTCTCGAACAGTGTTTGCATGCAGTCCAGCCCATTTGGGATTCTGCCTTTTGTTAATACCGGTCGGAACTTAAGTCACTGGAATCCAGTTTATTTTTTTAGCTTGTCCTTTGCCTGCCTATTGATCCTTAAAAGGAATGCAATCGATAAGAAATGGGCTAATTTAATAAGGAGGCTGAATTTCCTCCCGTGCTCCTATACGACGACGCAAAAGAAATACCTGAACCAAAATAGGGTATAGGATTAGCCATTTGTTAGGGCACATTTATTCAGCATACCTGGTCAAGAAGCAGTTAATTGGCAGACTATTCCGCATAATATGGCATAATATATCTCGACATTGAGGATGGCCCAATAGATGGTAAGACTTTCCTAACTAAATTTGATAAAATATGACAATAAATTATGTTGATGCATTTTGGGGCGTCTATTCAGTCCATCAACAACAGATGGCCCATGAAATGTGCAAATCAACATTTTGGATTGACCAAGCGAAAGCCCAGCGTGCCTTTTTATATGTTATTGCCTTGTTTTTCCAATATTACCTCGATGTTGTCTGGCCGAGGCCATAAGTTGATTCTTGAACATATTCTCCATTACATTTATACACAAGCCTAAGACTGATTTACCAAAAAATTAGTTGATGACTTTAACTTGCAATTTAGGCTAGTGAAAGCGTTCGGATGAGATGCAGAGACCTAGATATATCTAGGAAGAAGCGATGGAATCCTGGATGCACCACAGAACCGTTTATCTTTTTTGCCCTCGAGGCCTAGCTTTAACTTAGATTTACCACTTGTTTAAAAATTAGTCAAAGTGAATTAAGCTAGACCATTAAACACGTTATGTCTGCGAGTAATAAGATTTTTTCAATAAGTATAGCTAAAAATGTGTGGGGAAATGGTATTTA